GCAACAATTCTTTACCAAGAAATACGTTTATGGTAAAATTTTGGAAAAGGACGTGGCACCGCCCACTTATGATCACATCTATGTATCTCGTAACCGTTCTAGAAATTTGTACCAAACTCGGTATGGTTATTGTGCTTGCCACATAAAAGCAAACCGTCGAAAATTGTTGAAATCGGACTATCGGCTTGAAATTTCAATATTCCGAAATTTAAGGACGCTAATTTACTTAAAACTTATACACCCCGGCTTATTAGCGGTAGCTTTCGGAAAGGTGGAAAACATATATTTAATACTTGCGCCGGGTATTTAATGTTCGGCTCCGCCCGAACTTAGACTTTCTTACTTGTTTNCGAAAATTGTTGAAATCGGACTATCGGCTTGAAATTTCAATATTCCGAAATTTAAGGACGCTAATTTACTTAAAACTTATACACCCCGGCTTATTAGCGGTAGCTTTCGGAAAGGTGGAAAACATATACATATTTAATACTTGCGCCGGGTATTTAATGTTCGGCTCCGCCCGAACTTAAATTTTCTTACTTGTTGCCTTTATCTTTACGCATCTTTTTGTTTTTATTTTTACTTTTGCCTTTATCCTCTTCTTTAGTTATGTACGTAGTCACCTTTACTTTCATTCTTGTATTGGTCCTTTTCTATTCTTTAACCTTTTATTAGCAAATTTTTGTTAAATTAATACCATATGCATACACACAATAAGCACTTGTTTCAGCCCCAACCATTTCCGTTGCACCATTTCGGTTGCACCATTTCCGTGTGCAATTTCCGTTGAATTTGCCAATTTACTGCCAACCAACTAACCGCCGCACATAGGGGTATTTGGCCGATTTATGCGGCCAAAATTATTTTTATGAATATCTCAACTCTAAATGTTTAGAAAAGACGTGTTTTGACATATAGAATTGTAAATGTTTAAAATCAAGTAAATATAAGGGGAGGACGTCCAATTCTTCCATCAAAACAAAGAAAATAAAGTTGCGTAACGGCTGGCATCGATAGACTCCATGTTGCCGTGGTTCGATTGTAGGAACACTCATATTTACGAGTTCGTCTCGGTGAGGAGAAGGTTTATATCTAGGTTAAAACATTAATAGAGTTGCCACTGTTAAAAATGTTCGTTCAATTAGTTAAATGAATTGCTGCAATGTGGGTATCAATGGAAATGGGTTTGAAAAGGCTTTATCTCAAAGTAACCTCTCAGGGTTGCCACCGGTTTAAAAATCAAAATTCATTTTTAATTTAGAGAATTAGATAATTCAAATATATACTATCACAGTATAGGTGAGAAAATGAAATAAAACTACATTTTTGAATTAAATACCAGTAATATAAACAGTCTTATTTATTGTTAAGAGAATGTTGTAAGTATTGAATTAGTTACTGATTTAACGCAGTTTTCGTGTTTCTGTAAATTACCGTTATGTGGAAAGTGGGCGTGGTTATCGCCCAATTTAAAGAATTTTTAGCAGATATGTTAGATATAGCCTAGGCAGGGCTCATACCGAGTTTAGAACGGATTGGTGAAGCGGATACTGAGATGCAGCATTTCATCATAAGTGGGCGGGGCCACTCCCCTTTTGCAAAAATTTGATAATAATCCTAATTTGTTCCAAAATTTTACTTCGCATACCAATTTTCAACAATTTGTATACAATATTTACTCAAATATCGTAGATTTATCTAAATATAAACGCTTGTATACCCAAACCTATTTGGTTAATCACCACTTATATAACGCCAATGTAAAGAAAAACAAATCTTTATTCCGAAATACATAACATAGTTGGGTTCGCCTTACATTCCCGCAGATTTCCAGCAATAGGACAGAAATGTCCTAGAAAACGTGACTTTTGCTCATATCACGAAAACATTTTTTTTAAATTAATTAGATTTATATTCTGATTCAGCGGCCTCAAATTCATCTAAAAAGTTTAATTTTATTGTTAAAATAGATCTAAAGTAGAGTAACTATATACTAGTTGCGTTCTTAGATTTTTCTTTAATACATTTTCTAAGTAAATAAATACCACTTATCTGCGATTTTCTGCGGGAAATCTTTTCACACTACATTGACCAAATTTCCAAGCTTTCACTTGAACAAAGAATAATAAGGCGATCTCTCCCGGGGATACAACAGATTAAGATTCAAACAAAAATTAAAAAAAAATACTCGTTGAAAGCCGCTATTTTTGTTAAATTTAAATTGAACCTTTTCTTAATAAAATGATTAAAAAAATTTAACACTTAGATGCATTATTACCTTCTGTATGCGGATCCATCACTACATTTTAAGAATACAATGCAGAAATTAAAATATTAACTTAAAACCGTCCCGATCTTTCTAGAGAGCGAAAATTTATTTATATGCAGCGTTAGAATATTCTATTTCCGGTCAACGGTGAGCGTTCGCTGTGCAAGTTAAAAAAGTGAAGGCGACTGAGAAATGTTATTTGGAATATTCTTTTATGGTTTTTGGCCGCCTAAATCGTAAGCTGACCAACCATCCTCCTTTGAGGAGGATTGTCCTCCTCAAACGTGATTCGTCCTCCTCAAAAATGTTGTCCTTCTCTGTCCTCTTTTTAGCAAAAATGTCCTCCTTTTCAAGTTTTATAGCAGTGATGAAATTAAAAAAAAAATTCGTTCAGAATATTATTATTTCCTAATCGTACACAATCATTGTATTTAAGAGACTTTTACATTGTTCACCTTTCAGTTAAATGATATAAACTTTTTTTCAACTAANTTTTTAGCAAAAATGTCCTCCTTTTCAAGTTTTATAGCAGTGATGAAATTAAAAAAAAAATTCGTTCAGAATATTATTATTTCCTAATCGTACACAATCATTGTATTTAAGAGACTTTTACATTGTTCACCTTTCAGTTAAATGATATAAACTTTTTTTCAACTAATCGCCTGTAAAAATTGAACAGTGTAAACGCCTTTTAGCTGTAATCGATAATATTTTACCCTTTACAACACTGAATGACTAGCTAACGACGCGTCTCCACAGGCGAAAATTATTGCCTACCATATGTCATTTTGTTTGCCAGATATGCATAAGTTTTATCAGCGGCAATATTTGTGTAAGGGGATTTTTTATCTTGATAAAATATTTTTTAAGATGGCTTAAAATAAGTATGTTCGTTTCACTGGAGCGCAAATCTGCTTAAAAATTTTTAGAAAATGTGTTATTTCACATCCAAATACATAATCAAGAATAACACAGGCCTGTGTGGTTTTCCCCTTAAAAAACTAATTAGCGATTTGAGTACGTAAAAAAAAATTATAAAAAATTTCATCACGAAAATTTTCCGAGAATTTTTTTTTTAATTTTTATTTAGCTATTTTTATTGCTACTAATGGTTTTAAGTAAAAATTCTATTCTACATTAATTAATTTTTGGTTTTTCATGCAAGTTGCTAAAAGTTCTAAAATGTAAGAAAAGAACCAAAGATGTATTTTAAATTAACATACCTAGATATTGAAAAAACATAATTATTGGAGAGCGGAAAAATTTGATTTGCAGGCCTGTGTAATCCAACAGAAATTAGCTAAATTTTTCTAGTATACTAAAAAATCAAATGCCGCTAAGTTTTCGCGCAAATTAAAAAGCTGGTTGTCAAATTAACTGTCAGTTCATGGCTGGCAATAATTATAAAGATAACAGTTCTGATAACACTGGACCACAAATTTCAACTTTTTCTCTTTACCAGAAACGCCGTTATGAAATTCTTATGTAAAATCACCCCCTGATTCCGAAAATCAAGGTTATTTTTAATTCTATGGTACCGTTTTTGAGATATTTGCAATTTACCGTTTTTGCAAAAAAAAAAAA